TGAGAAAGAAGAACAAAGCAGGAGGGATCACAATGCCTGATACCAACCTATACTACAAGGCCACTATAATCAAAACAGTCTGGTACTGGCAGAAGAACAAACACATCAATCAATGGAACAGAGTAGAGAGCCCGGAAATAAACCCATGTCTCTAAGGTCTATTGATATTTAACAAAGGGGACAGAAACATAAAATGGAATAAAAATAGCCTCTACAACAAATGTTTCTGGAAGATCTGGAATGAACATGCAAAAAATGAAACTAGACTACCAACTTATACCATGCACCAGGATAAACTCAAAATGGCTCAAAATCTTCAACATAAGCTGGGAAACCATAAAAGTCCTAGAGGAAAACATAGGCAGTAAAACTTCAGATATCCCATACAGCAGTATTTTCTCTGATATATCTTCCAGGGCAAGGGAAATAAAGGATTGAATAAACAAATGGGCCTGCATCAGATTAAAAAGTTTCTGCATGGCTAAAAACATCATCAAAGTGAAAGGAAAACCCAAATATGGGAAAACATATTTGCCGATGATAACTTAGACAAAGGTTTGATCCCCAAAATATATAAAGAACTCATATGATTCAATGCCAGGAAGACAAACAATCCAGTTACAAAATTAGCAAATGACCTGAGCAAACACTTCTTCAAGGAGGGCATACAAAGGGCCCATAAGCATACAAAAGGATGCTCAACATTACTAGCCATCAGATAGATGCAAATTAAAAACATAATGAGATACCACCTCACACAGGTCAGAATGGCCATTATTAATGAAACAAAATAAACTCAAGATAGATAAAAGACTTAAATATAAGATATGACACCATGATACTCCTAAAGAAAATAGGCAAATTTCAGATATGCCACACAGTAATATTTTCACTGATGCATCCTCTAGAACACAGGTGACAAACACAAGGCCTACAGGATGAATCCAGCCCTCCACCTTGTTTTATCCAGCCCAGCACCTTGTTTCCATCCAGCAGCAGTGCTGAGCTCTCGCTCAGATGTTAAGGAGTAGTCACATTTATACAGTCCTAAAATTACACTCAGCCCTTTGAAGGCAACAGCGAGGCTGATGTGGTCCCTGGTGAAAATGAGCTTGACACCCCTGCTCTAGGGCAAGGGATATGAAGGCAAGAATAAAGAAATGGGCCTATGTAAAACTAAAAAGCTTTTGCATGGTTAAAGAAAATACTGTCAAAGTGAAAAAGGAATCAATTGTATGGGAAACTATATTTGCCAATGATCTCCAAAACATACAAAGAACTCACAACTCCACACCAGGAAGACAAACAAATTCCAAAATGGGCAAAGAACCTGAACAGAAATTTCTTCAAGAAGGACATACAGAGGGCCCAGAGACATATGGGAAGATGCTCAGCATCACTAGTTATCAGAGAGATGTAAATTAAAACCAAAACAAAATACCACTTCACATCAGCCAGGATGGCCCTCATCAACAAATCAACCAACAACAAGGGCTAGGGAGAATATGGAGAAAAGGAAACCCTAGTACTATGTTGGTGGGAATGCAGATTGGTGCAGCCACTGTGGAAAACAGCATAAAATTTCCTCAAAAATCTAAAAACAGAACTGTATTTTTACCCATCAATTTCACTGCTAGTATTATACCCTAAAAATCCTGAAACAACAGTTCAAAAGAACCTATGCACCCCAGTGTCCATAGCAACATTATTTGCAATAGCCAAGTGCTGTAAACAACCTAAAGTGCCCATCTATAAATGAGTGGATTAAAATATTGTGATATATTTATATAATGGAATACTAAGCAGACACATTTACCATTGGAGACAGCATGAATGGAATTTGAGAGTATTATCTTAAGCAAAATAAACTGGGCAGCGAAAGACAAATACCATATAATCCTACCCATAACAGGAACCTAATGAGCAAAATAGAACCAGAGGCATGGAAACAAGGAACAAAATTGACAGGAACCAGAGTGGGGGTGATAAGGGAGAAAAGAAGGGGAAGGGACAAGTTAAAGAACAAGTGCAAATGACCCACTGGCATGGACAACAGGGTGGGGATTGACTGTGGGAGTCGGGGGAAGAAGGGGCAGAGGAGAGCAATGGACGAAAATTAGGACAACTGTAATAAAACAACAATAAAAAATAAAAGTGAAAGTGTAAAATGATTTAAAAAAAACAAATAAAGAAAGCATCCTCTTTCAGATGATGTTTTTTCAGTTGATGAACCTACAGTGACCCATCATTATCAAAGTCATAGTTTACATTAGGGTTCACTCTTGGTGTTTTACATTCTGTGGGTTTGAGTAAATTTATCATATGTATCTCTCATTATTCATCATGCAGAGTAGTTTTATTGCCCTAAAAATTCTCTGTGCTCAGTTTATTCATCCTTCCCTCTTTTCTAACTTCTGGAGGCCTCTAATCTTTTCACTGTCTCCATAGTTTTGCTTTTTCCAAAATTTCATACAGTTAGAATGGTAGGATATGTAGCCTTTTCTTAATTTTACTTTTTAATATGCACTTATTTCCTCCATGTCTTTTTAAAAATTTAGTCTTTATTGTATTTTTTTCATTACCATTAGTCCAATTATACTCATCACTCCTCCAACAATCACCACACTGTTGTCCATGTGCATGAGTCCTTTTTCCTTTCTTCTCAATCCCTTCACCCTCTAAACCTCCCCCCACCCATTTGTCACCCTGTTCTCCATCTGTGAATCTGTCCCCATTTTTCTTGTTAATTCACTTTGTTTATTAGATTTCACATATGAGTGAAATCATGTGGTATTTGTCTTTCTCTGACTGGCTTATTTCATTTAGCATAATGTTCTCCAGGTCCATCCACATTTTTGCAATGGATAAAATTTTCTTCTTTTTTTACAGTCCAGTAGTATTCCATTGTGTAAATGCCCCTTGGTTATTTTATTCATTCATCTACTGATGGACACTTGGACTGCTTCCATGTCTTGGTAATTGTAAATAATACTGCAATGAACATAGAGGTACTTACATTCTTTCGAATTAGTATTTTGTGTTTTTTCAGGTAAATTCACAGAAATGTGATAAGTGGGTCAAAAGCAAGATCCATTTTTAATTTTTGAGGCATTTCCATACTGCTTTCTCCAGTGGTTACACCAGTCTGCATTCCCACCAACAGTGCAAAAATGTTCCCTTTTCTCTACACCCTCACCAGTACTTTTGTTTGTTGATTTATTTTTGATAGCCATTGTGACAGGTGTAAGATGACATCTCATTGTGGTTTTAATTTGCATTTCTCTTAGGATTAGTGACTTGATCATCTTTTCATATGTCTATTGGCCATCTGTTTGCCCCCTTTGGTTAAGTGAAATTCAGGTCCTTTGCTCATTTTAAAATTGGGTTGTTTGGTTTTTTTTCCTCTATGTCCTTTAATGGTTTGATAGTTCTTTTCTTTTGAGCACTAAATAATATCCCATTGTCTGGCTGTAGTACAATTTATTTATCTATTTACCTGATGAAGGACATCTAGGTTGCTTCCAAGTTTGGGGGAATTATAAATAAAGCTGCTATAAATGTCCATGTGCAGATTTTTTGCATAGACCTAAGTTTTCACCTCCTTTGGGTAAACACCAAGGAGTACAATTGATGGATTACATATGAAGAGTAATATTTAGTTTTGTAAAAATAACCACCAAACTATCTTTCAATGTGTCTATACCATTTTGCATTCCCACCAGCATGAATAACAGTGGCTATTTGAGTCATGGCTGATGTGGTTCAGTTGGTTAGAGTGTTGTCCTGAAAGCAAAAGGTTGTGAGTTTGATTCTCAGTCAGGGCACATACCTAGGTTGCAGGTTTGATCCTCTCTCTGGGTTCAGGTGTGTGACACCCTTGGCCTGGACACATATAATCCCTGGTCTGGGCGCCAACCCCAGTCTGGGCATATATATGGAAGGAAGTCTATCAATGCTTCTCTCTCGCATCAATGTTTCTTTCTCTTCCTCTCTAGAAGCAATGAAAAAAGTGTCCTCAGGTGAGCATAAAAAATTAAAAATAGAGACAGAGTTTCTAGTTGTCTACATCATTGGCAGCATTTGGTATCATCAGTGTTCTGGATTTTGAGCATTTTAATAGGTGTGTAATGGTAACTTAATGTTGTTCTTATTTTCATTTCTTGGATGACATATAATGTGAGGCATCTTTTTTGTTAAAATCTGTGACCCATTGTTTAAATTTCTTTTGTTTTCTTATTGTTGAATTTTAGGAAATATTTAAATCTGTTGTATAACCGTTCTTTATCAGTGTGTCTTTTGCAAATAAATTTGTGGCTTGTCTTTCATCCTTGTGATAATGTCTTTGGTACAATAGAAATTTTTTTAAATTAAAGAAGTCCAGCTTATTATTTTGTTCATAGATTGTGCTTTTGGTGTTGTATCTAAAAAGATACTGTGAGACCCAAGATCTTCTAGGTTTTCTTCTATATTATCTTCTAAAAGTTTTGTAGTTTTGTGTTTTCCATGTAGGTCTTTGATCCATTTTGAGTTTAATGTTGTGAAGGGTATAATGTCCATATCTAGATACAATAATTTGTATGTAGCTTCCCAGTGTTCTAGCACAACAGCTGTCTTTGTTACATTGCATTGTCTTTGCCAAAGATCAGCTAACTATAAATATGTTAAGTAAGAGGTAAACTTATATGTCTTCATGTCTCTAGATTGAAACTTCAATAGACTATTGCTTTATATCTCTCTAACTCTTAATATTAGATGACATATTAAATCTGTTTATATATCAGACTATTCTGTGATGATTTAGTAATTATCTGCAAATATCTCCAATTTTTTACCTATTATAGAAACCAGAACTTTATTAAAATATATTCATAATATTAGTATGTTTTTATATTATATTCTAATAAAATATCGGAATTTTTTTTTCCAGTATGGTTACAACACACTTAAGTACCTCTGAATCAAATACTGGGAACATTATTACATAATTATTTTCATTTCAGGCTGGGCAACAGCGTTGGTGGGAACAGGAGATAAAAATAAATGGAAATATTCAAAAAGGAGAATTAATTACATATAATTTGACTGAGCTAATTAAACCAGAGGCTTATGAAGTCCGACTAACACCTCTCACCAAATTTGGTGAAGGAGATTCAACAATTCGTGTCATCAAATACAGTGGTAAGTAGTCTTTTATTTTAAGGTATTTATTTGCATATTAAATTTGGCTTATTGATCTTTAGATCATAAGACAAATAACAAAAAAACACAAAAACTTAATCATTATAGATTTTAATGTTAGATTATAAATACAGATATATAGAATGTTTTAGTTAAACCTATATGATAATATCAGCAATGTCCTTTTATTTTCTACACCATAAGTTATTATGTAATACTTCTGCATTTTAGTTTTTTGAAGTTCTTAATGGCTTAAAAGTTTATATCATTAAGAAGTTAACAAATGTGCTAAAAGTGTTTTAAAAATTGCTTTAAACTAATGGACTTTATTTTTTAGAATAGTCTTAGGTTTACATAAAATTGAGAAGAAAGTATAGAGAGCTCTTATAGATGTCTTCTCCCCAACACAATTTCACATTTTTCCCATTATGAATATCTAATGAGAGCATGGACAGTTGTTACAATTGATTAACAAACATTGACATATTATTATTATAGTAAATAGTTTACATTAGGGTTTATTACTTGTGTTTACAGTTATATGGATTGTGACAAGTGTGGAGTGTTATTTGCTCACCATTACAGAACCAAAGAGCATAGTTTCACTGCCCTGAAAATTCACTCTGCTCCACCTATTTGTCCTCCCTCCTTCCTCCCGCCCTCAGAACCACCGATCTCTTTTTTTACTCTCTGCAGTTTTGCCTTTTCCAGAATGTTGGAATCCTACAGCACGTAGCCTTTTCAAACTGGCTTATTTCACGGAGTAATACACATTTAAGTTTTTCTACATCACTTTAATAACTCATTTCACTTTCTTGTTAAATAATATCCCATTGTATGGAGATGCTATAGTTTCTTTGTCCATTCAACTATTGCTGAAGAACATTTTAGTTGACTGTTTTGGTCCATTTTACTTTTAGATTGTTGTTAAAAATATCAATTTTTGTAGTTATCTATATGTGATTAAACTATACACGTTTAATATTTCTTCATATATATTTCCTACATGAGCAAAAATTAAAACTAGTATAAAACTGTAAAAAATAAAAGTTGATCAAAAACATTATCTAAAAAGTAGAAACAATAGCAATGACTAGCTCTAGAATTGTCAAAATATATTTCAGGGTTGAGTAAATCAACAGCAATATATTTATTTGTTTCATTAATGCAGTTAAACAAAATTCTTTTCTGTCGTCAATTTTCAGTTTGACTTAAGAATAATGCAATGTAATTTTTGCATTTGAAGATCTTCATTCTACTTAGCATTTAGCATATTTCTCCCACATAAGAGAGAGTGAATACTGTCAAAAATAAAATATTTTTATTGTTAAAAACACATTAAATCTTCTTTTTCATATTAAACTACTTTTTTCTTCACTCTTCTCTCATTAGTCTGAGTATATTGGGCATGATGTACAATTTTCATTAAAATATTAAGATATACAGGTAGGGCAAAAGTAAATTTTGTTTACTTTTAAATTACAGTTGTTTATATTGATAATAATATCAGAATAAATAATAACATAAAAATGAACTGTTTTGCATACTCACAACTACAAACCTATTTTTGTCCCACTCTGTATAATGTAGAATAGAATATTTCACAGAAGATCAAGGAATATAAAAGCATGAGAATCATTGCTATTTTCCTTAAATGTGGCCCTTTAAAAATATGCCTTTTGTGTTAGTGAGATAAATATTATTCAGAATAACAATCAATTGTCATTGTTTAATCACCTCCAGGATTGTACTGAATGGACAACTAAATAGAATCCCCATGTATTTTCTAAATTTTTAGTTTTATAAAACATGAATTACTATCTATCTCCTCTTATCTAATGTTTATTTTCCTTGCCTCTAAGTTATAAAATTCAGGGCCATTTAATATGGAGAGGTATTAAAACAATGCATTAATATTTATGCCATTAAAAGATGAAGAAATTAGGACCCAGAAGGTTTCAGTGTCCTGCAAAGTTAAAAACCATGAAATGATAAACTCTGATTAGAGCCAGGGTTTATCCCTCAGTGACAGAATATATGTTTCTTTATTAAATTTAGAAATTGTGACTCTTAAAAGAGATACAGTGTAAATCTTTCTGAACTCAGTAGTTCTTATTGAAAAAAAATGGGACAACAAACTAAAATGAAGAATAAATCTGGGAAATAAATATTATGTTTAGTTTTAATTTTTAAATTATCTTTACATTCTTTTTTTTAATATAAATTTTATTTAGTTACTTTTCAAGTACATTTTTTTTTATCTATTTCTCCCATCCCACCCCACCCCCCCAGCTGGTCTCCCCCCTCCCTCCCATTCCCCCCCCCCAGTCCTCATCTCTGTGTCTTTCATACTTGTTCCTCAAAATCCCTCCCCCTTTTTCCCCTTAAGTTCCCTTCTCTCTCCCCTCTGGTCGCTGCCCACTTCTTCTCTATTTCAGCGTCTTTGTTTTTATTCTGTTTGCTTGTTTGTTTTATTCTTTAGCTTCCTGTCAAAGGTGAGATCATATGGTATTTGTCCTTCAATGCCTGGCCTATTTCACTCAGCATAATGCTTTCCAGTTCCATCCATGTTGTTGCAAAAGGTAGTAGCTCCTTCTTTCTCTCTGCTGCATAGAATTCCATTGTGTATATGTACCACAATTTTTTGATCCATTCGTTTACTGATGGGCACCTAGGTTGCTTCCAACTCTTGGCTATTGTAAATTGTGCTGCTATGAACATTGTGGTGCATAGGTTCTTTGAAATTGATGTTTTAGGATTCTTGGGGTATAATCCTAGCAGTGGAATTGCTGGGTCAAAAGGCAGGTCAATTTTTATTTTTCTGAGAAAATTCCATACTGTTTTCCATAATGGTTGTACCAGTCTGCAATCCCACCAACAGTGAACTAAGGACCCCTTTTCCCCACACCCTCTCCAACATTTGTTGTTTGTTGCTTTGTCTATTATAGCCATCCTGACCTGTGTAAAGTGGTATCTCATTGTGGTTTTAATTTGCATCTCTCTGATAGCTAACGATATTGAGCATCTCTTCATGTGTCTCTGGATATTCTGTATGTCCTCTTTAGAGAAGTGTCTTTACATTCTTAAGCATAATTATTAAAATTATAAATATTTTCATTAAAATTTCTATTTTTATGTAATATAGATTGGGGTAAAGTATACTATAATGGTATATAGGCATTTATAAGAAATTAGACATACATATTCCATTGAAAGAAAAATACCTCTTTGCAATATTCAGAATTTAGAATGGCAAATTTTCACTAGGATAATTGTGTTATTTATAGTGAACATGGTGACTGAAAATATCATAGGGGAAGATTCAATTAAAATTGTATCTGGTCACTCACAGACACAGGGAGCAGATGGCGGTTGAGAGAGGGGAGGGAAGTTAGGAGGTAGGTGAAAAAGTGAAACTATTAAGAGGTCCAAATTAGTAGTTACAAAATAGTGACAGGGATGTAAACTACAACATAGGAAATATACTCAGTAATATTGTGGTAACTATATATGGTGCCAGATAGGTGCTGGAAATATTGGGAGAAATCATTTGTAAACACATCATGTAACCACTATGTTTTATACCTTAAAACAATACAAAATAATATGAAATGTACACTGTAATGGAAAAATTTTATAATAAAAATAAAAACATACAGTCTGGTCAGAGGTTACCAATAGATTCGACATATTTCTTAGATTTAAATTACAATTCCAAGATGCTTACTTTTTTGAAAGATAGTAGACAATTTTATTTATTTTACTTATAAAATAATTTTGATTTTTATTAATTTTCAAATTGAAATACATTGATATTTTGCAAAAAATATTTTTCTCCACTTCAGTATAGGTAGTAAATAAATGTATAGTCCCTTCTCTATGTTATTCATTTTATGAATACAGAATAAAAAAAACAACTAATAATGGGAATTGTCTGTCTTCTGTATAAAGAAATAGAAAAAGTAATTGAGAAGCTAACCCACTGCATTAAAATTGATATCAATATAATAATGTAACAATTATATATGAACATATTTTGAGAATGTGCATACATTATTGACTTTTTTTTATACTTAACTAGTAATATCCAAGTTTAACACAAGTGGTTAATAACAAACACTAGGAATTAACAACAGAGTTGATCAATTTCTGCAGGTTACAATAACTGCCCATTGTAATCTTGGAAGATTACAATAATTCATTTCTTCATCCAGAATGGCATTTTTCTCTCAAGATAATAAAGGATTATTGGATATATACAGATACCATTTTGCATTTTAGGTTAGACATATTTTTGTTGCTGTTTCAGTAAAACGTATTTACTCCTCTTCAAGTAGAAATCAATTGGTGTTACAGTTACAACTGTAACAGCATAAACAATAGTGAAAAACAGAAAAAAGCCTTAGCTAGTGTGGCTCAGTGGACTGTGTTGGCCTGTGGACCAAAGGGTCTCTGGTTCAATTCCCAGTCAGGGCACATGCCTGGGTTACAGGCCAGGTCTTCAGTAGGAGGTTGACAAGAGGCAACCACACATTGATGTTTCTTTCTTTCCTTTTCTTTCTCCTTCTCTTTCACTTTGCCTAAAAATAAATAAATAAAATATTTTAAAAAATAAAGAACATTTAAAAAAATGTAGAAATCAATTGGTACTTGTATTGCAAACAAAATTAGTTTTTTTTAAGATAAATATTTCTTGTGTACAAAAATGCAAATATGTTGTTTATTATTGAAATTTCTCTGTGTGTGTGTGTGAATAACTATTAGTTTTAGGACACATGTAATGTGATATGAAGATTGCTTTATTTTTGTACATACCATGTAATTTTTACCAGATGTAGGTAACAGTAAAAAAACTAAGGTGTAATCTGTGTTGGATAATTGCTTTCATTTTTAAAGCATCTAGATTATATGTTGACCTAATGTCAGCCTCAGTTTTGATTTCTGGGATTTGTTTAGTACTGATTAAGATATAAAAGGTCATCGACTCCATTTTCTGGAACATGACAAATTCCACGTGCTATTACGCATTGATCTTTTGGGTACTTTCAGGCCGTTATTGCTGAGCTCCAAGGTGAATTCTATTCAATCCCCTAGAACAAAATGGATTGCAGATATAATTCTCCATGGCCACAATGGGGAAGATCATTAAGTTTTGATAAAGAACTATGAAACACTGATTAGACTTTTATTGATAAGACATTCAAGCCATGCTAACATTATTTTTTGCTTTTCTTGTAGCTCCTGTTAATCCTCATTTGAGTAAGTATATTTTTACTTTAAAAATGGCATTGTATTTCAAAATGTATAAAATTTTTAAAATTATAAATGTATAAATATTATTGAGTAAATTATTTGGTCTAAAATAGACTATTTTTTCCTTTTTATTGAATTTATTGGGGTGATGCTGGTTAACAAAATTATACAGGTTTTAGGAGTACTGGCTTAAAAACAGTAAAACAAGCATTATATATAAATTTTAAATTTCAAAGGATATGGTTATAAAGTCAAATGATTTAATATTCATATCAATATTTATATTTTTCTACATGTTGAACCATTTACCATAACCTGCATAACATTTGCTATTTGTGTAACTGTGAAAAATTTTTTTCTTCTGTGGCATATAATTTTATGTTATATTTATCTTTATATTAACATATAACTTTTATTGCTTTTATTTTTCTTTAATTTTTAGCTTTGGTTCCTATATCCCATTCAAAAAGGACTATTATTACTTAGAAAATTGGCATATGAATGGTTTAATCAAGATTTTTCATGGATCACTATTCTATATCCCAATTTTATGAAAAAAGAAGCTAATCTGGCCACCATCCCCTCTCCTATTGTGTCTGAGAATATACTGTTTGGGGATAACAAATTGATGAAGAGCCCCTTGGCCATCTTACCCCCTCCCATCCAACATTCTCCATTACCTGTACTTAGGGAAGAAAACATCCAAGTCTGTTTTCTCTGTTTCCTGCAACAGTCTTTTATTTACTCTTACAAACTACAAAATCTCTGCTGGCTGTACTGTCTACCAAAGATCCTCTTTTACTTCATTTCTCCATATTCAAATTACTCTATGTAATAATTTTATAGTTCTCTGTTTACATATTGCTTTCATGTGTGAAATTATATTCAGTCATCACAAACGACACTCTAATGTGGATAGTATCATTACCTCTTTGAGGTTCACTTTTCTTACAAGGTTTAGCACAGATAGTCTTCCTTCCACTAAATATTTCCTCTTTCTGATTTCCATAACAATTTATCTTCATCTATGTGGTAAGCTGTTATTGATTTTCTCATATCGTCCACTAGATTATAAAGTACTTGAAAAGCAAATCTGTCTCTAATTTCTCCCTGTATCTTAATGTCCTAGTGATTATCACAGCATCTCACTTATAGCAGGTGTTCAAATGATTATTTAAGAGAACAAATGAATGACAATTTCAGGATGAATTAATTGCATAAATAAGATTCTCCTTAACTTTTACCTATGGTTCTATTTCTAGTTAATTACTATATTTATTATAATTCCCTTGAAAGTAAGTTCTCTGACTGCACACTTAGTAGAAATATTTAAGAAGAGTTTTCATGGGAAGATTAAAACTATCAGATACAGGAAAAAGTTTACAAATATTTCAATTCAAGAAAAAAATTTGAACAGCTTTTATCTACTGAAAAAAGCACAAATGAATGTCTAGTAGAGTGTTTGCTAACAGATTACTTCAATACAAAATAATAAGTATTATTAATTTTATGACAAATGAAAAAGTTTTACAGAAGAGATATTTTAGCTTGGGCCTGAAAGTTGGATAGAGGTCCCTTAGGTGAAGGTGAACAAAGGCATGTCTGTCATTGGAATGAAGGTCATGTTCTGACAATAATTGAGCAAAGTCCAGTATACCTGCAGTGTAATGTTCAAGAGTTACAGACACCAGAACTATGTATTAAAAATAGACAACTTATAATTTGAACACTTCTTAAAAAGCTTGGATTATTTCAGTCATAGTTACCAATGTCTCTTCCTCAACAAACATTTTGTATATAGTCAAAGATGACTGGATTTTTATATTTAAAATAATTCCCAGCATCACTTTCTAGTTCAAACATTTCCATTACCTTTGTACCTTTTCATTTTTAATGAATATTCAATATTTTAGGAACTGAGAGTTGCTTAGAACAAAAAGTTTTAAGTAAAAATTATACAATGATTATAAGTTAATAAAAATAATTATTTTATGTTATTGGCAGTTGCACTGTTTCTTATTTTTTAATCTTTAATTGAATTTATCAAGGTAATATTTGTTCACAAAACCATACATTTCAAGTATACAACTCAGTAAAACATCATCTGCATACTGTATCATGCGCCTATTGCACCAAGCAAGGACTCTTTCCGTCCACACTTTTCCACCCTTTCCCCACCTAAACCTAGCCTTGACCCCACTTCCTCCTGACTGTCACCACACTGTTGTCTGTGTCTGTGTGTTATGTATATATGTTTTTGGCTAATCCCTTCACTTTCTTCCATCCAGTCTCCTAACACCCATCTCCTCTGACATCTGTCAGATTATTCCATGATTCCATGCATCTGTTTTGGTTTATTCATCAGTTTATTTTGTTCTGAGAGTCCACATATAAGAGAGATCTCATTTATCTTTCTCTGACTGGTTTATTTCACTTAGCATACTAAGATCCAGGTCCATCCATGCTGTCACAAAGGATAAGAGTTCCTTTTTTTTTGCAGCAAAGTAGTATTCCATTGTGTAAATATACCACAGCTTTTTTATTCACTCATCTACTGATGGACACTTGGGCTGTTTCCAGATTCTGACTGTTGTAAATAAGCTACAATGAACATAGTGACGCATATATTTTTTTCAAACTATTGTTTTGAGTTTTTTCATATATATTTTTCAAAAGTGGAATTGCTGAGACAAAAAGCAATTACGTTTTTATTTTTTTGAGGTCACTCATACTGCTTTCCATAGTGGCTGCATCAGTCTGGATTCCCACCAAGAGTGCACAACCAAGGGTTCCATTTCCTCCACATCTTTGCCAACACTTATTGTTTTTGATTAATTGATGACAGCTATTTTGACAGGTGTAAGATGGTATCTCATTTTGGTTTTGCTTTGCATCTCTCTCTGATGATTAATGATGAACATTTTTTCACATATCTATTGGCCATCTGTATTTCCTCCTTGGAGAAGTGTCTATTCAGATCCTTTGCCCAATTTTTAATTGGATTGTTTGTTTGGTTTTGACTTGTGTGAGTTTTTTATGTATTTTGAAAATTAACCCTGTATCAGATGTATCATCAGCAAATATATTCTCCCATTCAGTGGATTCACTTTTCACTTTATTCATTTTTTTTCTGTGCCAAACCATTTTAGCTTGAAGTAGTCCCATTTGTTTGTTTTTTTCCTTTGTTTCCCTTGCCCTAGAAGGTATGTTAGAAAAAAGATTGCTATGAGAGATATTTGAGATTTTACTACCTATGTTTTATTCTAGGATTTTATGGTCTCACAATTTATTTTTAAGTCTCTTACCCATTTTGAGTTTATTCTGGCATATGATAGAAGTTGGTGGTCTACTTTCATTTTTTTGTAGGTACCAATCCAGTTCTCCCAACACCATTTATTGAAGAGACTGTCTTTACTCCATTGTATGCACTTATCACCTCGATCAGATATTAGTTGACTATGAAAATATGGGTTTATTTCTGTGCTTCTCTTCTGTTCTGTTGGTTTATTTACCTATTCTTATGCCAGTACCAGGCTGTTTTGGTTCCTATGTTGTTGTAGTATAGTTCGATATCAGGTGTTGTGATCTCTCCAATTTTTTTTATTCTTTTTCAAGATTACTAAGGCTATTCAGGAATTTTTTTGGTTTTATATAAATTTTCAGAATATTCATCTTAGATATATGAAAATGCTATTGGTATTAAAATAGGAAATGCATTGAATATATAGATTACTTTGTGTAGTGTGAACAATTTAATGATATTAATTTTTCCAGTTCATGAACCTGGTATATGCTTCCACTTAATCCATATCTTCCTCAACTTTTTTCAGTGTTGTATAATTTTTCAAGTGTAGGGTTTTTATATCCATAGTTAAATTTATGACTAAGTACTTTGTTTTTATTATTGTAATAGTAAATGGGATTATTCACATAATTTTTCTTTCTGATAGTTCATTATTAATATATAAAATGCAACCAATTTCTGAATATTAAAATAAGCAAATTTGGCTTTGCCAATTTTGCTTATTAAATCTAGTAATTTTTTGGCGGAGAGATTTTTGTGTATAATATTTGGTCATCTGTGAATAATGACAGTTTTATATCATCCTTTCCAATTTGAATCCCTTTCATGTCTTATTTTTGTCTGATTGCTGTGGCTAGGACTTCCAGAACTATGTTGAATGAGAGTAGGGAAAGTGGATATTCATGTCTGTTTTCTGATCTTAAGGGAAATGTCTTTAGTTTTGCCTACTGAGTATGATGTTGGCTGTAGGTTTGTCATAATGTCCTTTATTATGTTTAGGTATCATCCCTCTTTTCCCACTTTGCTGAGTTTTTATCATACATGGGTCCAGTTTTTTAATCAAATACTTTTTCTGCATCTATTGGTAAAATCATGTGCTTTTATTCTTAATTTTGTTTATGCAATATATATTGTGTTTACTGGTTTATGAAAATTGTACTAACCTTGCATACCCATAATAAATCCCACTTGATGATGATGTATGATATTTTTTATGTATTGTTGGATCTGAATTCTCTATTTTTTAAATTTTTAAAAATAACTTTATTGATCAATTACAGTTGTCTGCATTTTCTCCCCACCATTCCCCTTCACCACCCCAGCCAAACCCACCTTTCTCCCTTGCTTCCATTCTCCCCCTTGGTTTTGTCCATGAGTAGTTCCTGAAAACCCTTTCCCCCATGATTCTCTCCCCCATCCCCTCTGGCTGCTGTTGGATTGTTCTTAATTTCAATGACCCTGGTTATATTTTCTCTGCTTTTTTCTTTTGTTGATTATGTTCTAGTTAAAGGTGAGATCATATAGTATTTGTCCCTCACCACCTGGCTTATTTCACTTAGCATAATGGTCTCAAGTTCTATCCATGCTGTTGCAAAGGGTAGGAGCTCCTTCTTTCTCTTTGCTGCATAGAATTTCATTCTGTAAATGTACTATACAGCTGGACACGAAGTGTATTTCTTTGGAGGATTTTAACATCCAAGTT